TGGAGGAATTGTGGGTTGTGTGTGGGTTTATATGCAGAAAGTGGAGCTACGCTATTAGTGGGAACATGGTGACGAGAAAAACACGATTAAATTAGTAGAATGAAAAGCGATCGTTGATAAACCTGATGATGGGGTTAAGAGTGCCGATTTGAAAGACAAACTTTTGTTCAAGAGTTTTGCCGCTTTCCGAGCTACTTAAATGTAAGGAACCAGATTACCATATGCTGTTTAGCCGGAATGATTAGGCAGATTAACGTGTTTAGCGACTAGTTTTGATGCGTCCTTGTCATTCCTTTCTACGTCGCGGGACAAAGATATATTTCGGTCTCCGTTCTTCGAACAAGTGAAAATAGATTGAACGAAGAGACAGTATTAGTTTTCAAAGCATAACAACATGGGCTTCTTAATTGGTTGTTGCCTATTTGGACTTTGCCCTGTGCGTGCGAAATACGTGATAAAATGCAGGTTGTTTACAGAAATTGACACGCAATGGGGTAAAGTCCAACGTAGCTAAAAGCGAATTTCATTGGTAGATAACGTGCAAGCACGTGAGAGTTGCGTGGAAAATTGACCGACCGCACCATTATGTTCTTTGTGAACTATTTTTCAGTGAGGTCGATTCATGTCATAAAATTTAAGTTGTTTATTGGAAAATGGCATTTCGTCTGAGAAAGTCTAGTCCATACTGGCGAGTAAAAAGTAAACACGCAGTTGTAGCGGGAAGGTATCGTTTAAACAATATTTAATTCATGGAGAACTTTTAGAAGCAAAGAAACGGATATTTAACATGGCAGTCGACGCAGAAAGTAAAATATAACTTGGTGGTCGTTTCAACCTCTGCAAAAAGAGCAGTCACAAGGCAAAAAACAAGATTGTCAATCAAATATGATTTATGCAAATGCCTTGCGCAAGTTTTGCCAGAGTCAGCAAAACTAGCCCTTCCAAAACAACATGCTCTGGTGCTAAATTCGTGTTAGGCCTTTAGCTGAAGTGTGTGCGTTATAGGTGAAGAAGCGGCACACAAAACATGCACGTCTTAACTTGCAATTGTTAGAAAAAATTCCCTGACGACCTTTTTAGTCCCGACAGATCGTAGCAATAAATTCCTCACGAAGGACAGCCATTACACTGGGTAGATGAACTCACAATTCTTGTAGATGTCATTCTTACCTCATTCTTTAAGCGAGATTCAAAATGTAATTCATATACAGCAATGAAATGTCCCTCAGTCGAGAAAACGAAATAAAGTAAACGCGGGACTGCATCAACACCAGGTAAACTTCCCCTTTCCTTTAATTATTCTTCGACTTCGAAAGCGCAGAATTGCGGGAGCACTAGTTTAACGGCCCTCTCGTTATATGATTCTTCGACTTCGTAAGCGCGGGACTGACGATGCAATAGTTTAACGGCCATATCATTTCATTGTTCTTCGACTTCAGGAAAACTTGAATGCGGGACCACTGGTTTAAATGTCCTCTCTTTTAAAATCATTTTTCGACATCAGGACCGTGGGAGCAATCCATTCATAGCGATCAGTAGCGGTCGGGTATTCTGAAGTTGCTCCCATCAACATCTCAAGCAATATTTGATTCAAAATTTTTATCATGTTCCACTCAGTCTCCTTTAGAAAGTTACCGCAAAGCTTCTTTTTGGTAGCTCGAGGTCAGTCCGCCCACAGGCAGCCCAAGCTCCAGCTGTGAGATGACCTGTTGTGCGGGAGGTCGAGGGTTCGAGCCCCGGCCGGACCGATACTCATGGTCTTAAAATAAGTGAGGGGAGTTTGCTACCTTTCTATAAAATGGATAGATATTCTAGTCTTCTCGGATAAGGACGAATAAACCGTAGGCCCAGTCTCCTGCAGGGTTAGGGGTAGGAGACGTTAATTTCCCACGCACGAGATTAGGGTGTCCTCCCCTAGGGTGGGATGGGAGAGAATTGGCCCTGAAAAGCCCCCATGGGGAGTGGTCAAGTAACGTATGTATGTATGTATGTATGTATGTATGTATGTATGGCGGGGTTTTCTTATGCACGTTGAAAACCTCGAAAAGGACAACTCGCTAAAATGGGTTCTTTTCATCAAAGTAAGCCGTCAGATAGCAAGCAATACACTGTGGAAGTAAGGTGAGGTACTTTTATTGAGAACTTGACGTATTTTTTTATTCATTAGAGCTGTCGTAAATATTCCCATACAAACTCTTATAATTCTGCCATGACTGTTATTGCGCCAGTTGATCATCTCACAGCTGGAGCTTGGGCCGCCTGTGGTCCGCCAAACAATTACTGCGCTGCCCTTGTCGGCCGCTTGGATAACAATGTCT